ATATATTTCTTTCAAAAGAAAGGAATTATTGGTTATATTGAAGGATGCATTCCTCCAATCACACATACACACATACACATATATCCTTTCTTTTGAGAACACCATTAATGCCTGATGTGAGCTGTGTTTTGAGCTTTTAAAAAAATATATGATACTACTAACTAAGACCCCTGCCTGAGGACAAACAAATTAAGCTGAGGAGGTGGTTCCAGCCCCATGGCTGCCAATTTACTGTTTCTAGTTAAAAGTAAAATCTTCTCGTTCAGTGGTGAGTGTATGTGAGTGAATCACATATGTTTGCTGGCCCCTTGGTGGTTCCTTCTTTTGCTTTCATCCGCAAAATCTCACAAGTTTCACATCCTCATAGATAAGCGGGTTTCAGGGGCCTTGCAGTCTCAAAGACCTCAAGCAATTTCAATTCTGAAATTTCAGCAGCTTTCTCCCTGCAGTGTAGGACAAACAAAAGAGGCAGGCCAGACTTGGGCAATTATTTTGTCTCTTTGCTTTTCACCAAAGCTTCTTCTTAAGCTGTCTCTGCATGAAAGTTTCTTATGTTTTCTGACCTTCTTTTTGCTTACAAGATGACACATGCATAAAAAGATCCCGTGAAAAGATCCCATTTGGAAACACTGGCCACCTTGCACACTTCCATCTGTGGACTATATCACTTGTGCTTACTATACAGCTCTCAGTTATCATCTACCTGGGGGATAAGAAGAGGATCTAAATGGGGTTGACATTGGTGCGGGTGCCTTACAGTTTGTAAAGCTAAAGTGAGAGAAAAAAAATCTAATGTGTGCAATTGTTCAAAATTCTAATCCTGAAAGACTTGAGTTCTTCAGATTATCATGCAGTCCAAAACTTGCTGCACAATCTTGAGCCAACTACAGTCTCATCTTCACCTACCTTGTATGGTTGCTATAGAGTGGAAAATCATATCTGCCAATAGATATTGCTAGTGGCTTGCATTTCAGCAAGATGGTGAATTCATTCTGCTTTATAGTCCAAATGTTAAAAGTGCTATCCAAGTTTCTAAAACTCTGTCTTCCCTAAATTATTCAGTATCTTTTATAGCTCCTTTAAAGTTCAGGCTAAAACCCAGCACAGATTAGATGCCCCACTTGGAAAGCATCAACCAACCTTGTGTGTCACCCTGAACTTCCTAGGAAAAAAGCATTACATAAACCTAATAAATGCATAAATCATGCAATAACGGTATCTAAACCCTTTAAAAAGCTTGACACAATTATTCTTACTCAGACATTTCTCAAACTTGCTCCTCTTCATAGTAATAATTTGATTCCACTATACATCATTTGGATTGTGATTCTAAGAGATCAGACTTTCCGACCCTCATCCTTCCATGTCATCCCAAACCAGTTTGTCCATTTGTCTCCTGCACCCTCATCAAACTAGAGAATGAATCCACTTTAAATCCAGTTGCTGCCTCCTGCAGAGTTCTGGGGTTTGTAGTTTAGGGAGGAGCCTTCAACAGCCTCACTAAAACTACAAACCCCAGAATTCTGCAGGAGGCAGAAACCAGATTTAAAGTGGATGCATTTCCTAGTGTGGTGAAATATCTGGTTTGGGATGGTAGCAGTTGTGTCCCAGCATATCTGAAGGCATCGTTTAGAGAAAAGCTCAAACACTCACTCAGTTCTCTTCCTTAACTTCATACCAACCTGTTCTTTCAGCCGAGATATCCAAGTGTCCAGTAACAATCCCATCCTGGACTGGTGGAACTTGTGGGTTGTTTTTACAGCAATGAAAAGATCTTCAAGCAATAGACTTCTTCCAACAGTAGAATGAGCTACATGGGCCAAGAGACTATTGTTTTCTTGCTCTGTGTGACTACCATGGTCCATCACATCCATCTGGGTCATCTCCTGTTGTGCCCATCTACTTGGTGTTTTTCCTGTATTCTTTTGGAAGACATCTGCCTCCTCCTGCATGCCATAATGCCTTGTGGAAAGAAGCACCATGCTCATGAAAAGAAAGATAACTCCAGAGAAGGCCCGGATAAGATACCAGCGCATTGCTCTCATCTTTGGTTCCCACAAGAGGAGTCCAGCAGATCTTTTTTTTTTCCACTTGTATAGTGCAAATTCTGGCCTAGTGTTTCTGCTTTCCCACAAATGCAGAGAAAGAGGAAACAGACAGAATGTCCTGGCTAAGAAATACTCTCAGAATGCAAGAATGGGGACTTCGAGGTTCTCAAACAAATAAAACACTATCTACCTCTCCCTCACAATACACACACTCCACCACTCACACCTAAGGGTATGGGAAAGCCTTCAGGGTAGAGTCACAGCAGCTGGGGAGACCTGATTTTCCAGATAGCAGGGGACAAGTGACAGATACGGTCCTAGTAACAAGTAAAAGGACCTGTCAGCCTGAGCCAAAATATCACAAGTATAGGCTCCATTAGTTAGACCAGATGACCTTCAGGCGGTAGAAGTCAAGGGCTCACGAAGACAAAAGTCCATCCCATGAAGAAGTCAGAGAGCAACGCCCCAGTTTTTAAGGAACTGCAGAGCACTTCACACTTCACAGTATAGTACTGACAAGAGAGAGAGTTGCCGCTGAAAGGGGGATTGCCTTTCTCCAGTCCCACCAGCTTTTTGCTACCCCTCCTTTTTCTTCTTCCACATTGAGTGAAGGCTCCACCCCATTCCTTTTATAGGTACACAATAGAACTAGGCAGGTCTTTCTTCTTTCTGGGGAAATCTCACGTCTGTCTAACAGTTGTCTGCCTGCTGCTGCACTCCCAGCTGCTGCCCTCTGGCCAACTTTGTCAAGCAGAAAAAGTACCCTCATTACTGTGAAAAAAACAACTTCTCACTAATGAAAATCTCAGGGAGACTCTAAACATAGCTCCTGTATAAAGGAGTCTGACCAAGTGGCATAGAGTGAGGGAAACTGCAGTGCTCTCCTACTGGCAATCCCAGAATACCTGACCATGATTTGAGTTGTTGTAGCCATTAGTACAAGGAAGACAAAAAGTCTAACTGTAGAATTTGTTTTGCTTAATCTGAAAAAAAATGCAGTGGCATCACTGGATTGTGTGTGTGTGTGTGTGTCAGGAGCAACTTCAGAAACTGCAAGTCACTCTGGTGTGAGAGGATTGGCCATTTGCAAGAATGTTTCCCAGGGGATACCTGGATGTTTGGTGTTTTACCATCCTTGTAGGAGGCTTCTCTCATTGAATCATAGAGTTTGAAGAGACCTTGTGGGCCATCCAGTCCAAACCCCTGCCAAGAAGCAGGAAAATTGTATCCAAAGCACACCCAACAGATGGTCACCCAGCCTCTGCTTAAAAGCCTCCATAGAAGGAGCTTCCACCACACTCCGGGGCAGAGAGTTCCACTGCTGAATAGCTCTCACAGTCAGAAAGTTCTTCCTAACGATCAGGTGGAATCTCCTTTCCTGTAGTTTGAAGCCATTGCTCCGTGTCCTAGTCTCCAGGGCAGCAGTAAACCGGCTTGCTCCCTCCTCTCTGTGACTTTCCCTCACATATCATACATGGCTATCATGTCTCCTCTCAGTCTTCTACATTTCTGCAGGCTAAAGATGCCCAGTTCATTAAGCCACTCCTCATGGGGCTTGTTCTCCAGACCCTTGATTATTTGAGTCACCCTCCTCTGGACATATTCCAGCTTGTCAATATTTCTCTTCAATTGTGGTGCCCAGAATTGGTCTAACCAAGGCAGAATACAGGGGTAGTATGATTTCCCTGGATATAGGCACTATACTCCTATTTATGCAGGCCAAAACACCATTGGCTTTTTTAGCTGCAGCATCACATTGTTGTCCACAAGGACTCAAAGATCTTTTATGCATGTACTGCTCTCTCATTTCCCTGCATGGGGAGCTGAAACTGACAGAGGGAGCTCATCCACGCTCTCCCCGGTTTCGGTCTTCAGTCCTGCCAGCACAAGGGTTTAGCCCATTGCGCCACTGGAGGTGAGGGTGCAGATCATATCGTGTAACACCATCCAAGATAGTTACAGTAACCATGGGGATTCAATGGGAAATTTCTCTGCTGTAGAGAAAGGGTTGGAAGTGTAGAGAAGGTTTGGCCCTCACTACCATGAAGTGGTGCCACTCCTTCTACATGGATAGCAACATTCAGCCAGCTCATGAGTCACCTTGTTTTTTTCCTGCTCAATCTTGGGCCAGCCACAGTCTGTTGTTTCTACTACTGCTACCCACCACCAGGACAGCTGTACTCCCCTGGTGGCACCAGGAGCAAGAGGAACCAGGCAACAAAGAGATTAATACACATGCTTGCATGAGCACAAGAGCATGTGCATGTGTATGCACACTCTCAGGATACAGGAAAGTATCCTGTCTGACAACCAAGATCTGCAGATACTGGTATAGCTCATCTGTGTCTGGTATGATATAGGAGGATGTTTGTGGGAATAACATTATGAATTACCTCACAGTGTAACACCAACCTAGGGACACCACTATGTACAGACAGGATTAGGAGTGCAAAGTGGAGTGTTTTGTCTCCTTTTTTGAATTATAGGACCTCTTTCCATCCATCCATCCTTCCTTCCTTAATTCTTGTCTCTTTCTTTCTTCTTCCTTCCTTCCTTCCTTCCTTCCTTCCTTCCTTCCTTCCTCCCTTCCCCTTCCCCTTCCCCTGCCCCTGCCCCTTCTCCTCCCTCCCTCCCTCCCTCCTTCCTTCCTTCCTTCCTTCCTTCCTTCCTTCCTTCCTTCCTTCCTTCCTTCCTTCCTTCCCTCCCTCCCTCCCTCCCTCCTTTTTCCTGGGGATTGTGAGTGGAGGACTTTGAAAATGATTGGTAATATTCCCCTTAACGTGGATGAGGTTTTTGCTCTATGGATATACTCAGGTATTCTGGGGTTTATCTCGTTTGTTTAATCTACTGAAACCACTGTGTTTTAAATGTGTTTTAACTAATGTTTTTACTGTATTTTGTTTGATTTTGTTTAATTTTGTTTTGTTTTTCCTTTATTAATTTTACATTTAGTTTGTATATATTATTTCTTGCATTTATTTATGTTGTGAGCCGTCCCGAGTCTTCTCTCATATCTCCACTTGGGGAGCTGGAGCTGATAGAGGAAGCTCATCCATGCGCTCTCTGGATTCGAACCTGCGACCTGTCAGTCTTCAGTCCTGCTGGCACAAGTGTTTAACCCATTGCACCACCAGGGGCTACTTATGAGTGGGGTGGTAAATCCATTTTGGATTTTAGTCTAAATGTTAATGGAGCCATTCAAGTTTATCAGCTGTATGTTCATAATCAAATCAGCACTATGATTAATGCCTTCAAGTTTACAATTTGGACCAAACTGACTACCCAACCAATATGGAAGACACCAGTTGACATGGCCCTTTACAGATCTAGAAAAGCAAGTACTTGCTTACTCTTTTTACTGTTGTCAGTAGCTTGAGCTGTTAAGCATAATTTGCAGTAGGTTGCCAAGCACAGATTTCAAGAGGGAAATGTCAGATCTGGACCAATATATTTTACTACCTCAGACAAATTCCTAAATAGCACTTTCTCTCATTCCAAGTAAAAAGTTGACCAGCCTAGCAATTGGTTCTTGCTTCAACACTGGTAATTGGAAAGCATTCTCTACCACACCTGAAAGTGGAAGACCATAATAAGTAACAGGGAGTAAGTTAGATGGAGCATAGCTCTCCCTTACCCAGTAGAAACGGAACATCCCCTAATCAGATTTTCACAATCTGAAACAATCCAAAATTCAAAATTGTTCACAAGAGCTGAGATAGTGACATCTTTGCTTTCTGGGTGTTTCATGCACACAAACATTGTTTCATGCACTTTAAAATAATGGGCTATGTGTATAAGGTACATATGAAACACAAATGAATTTAATATTTAGACTTCAACCCATCTCCAAGATATCTTGTTATATAAAAGGTAAAGGTTTCCCCTGACATTAAGTCTAGTCGTGTCCAACTCTGGGGGGCGGTGCTCATTTCCATTTCTAAGTCAAAGAGCCTGCATTGCCCATAGACACCTCCAAGGTCATGTGGCCAGCATAACTTCCCACAAAAGCAGTACCCATTCATCTACTCGCATTTGCATGTTTTTGAACTGCTAGGTTGACAGAAGAAGGGCCTAACAGCAGGCGCTCACCCCGTTCCCCGGATTCGAATCAACAACCTTTCAGTCAGCAAGTTTAGCAGCTCAGCCGTTTAATCCACTGCACCACCATCTTATTATATACCTACATGCAAATACAAGTATTCCAAGATCCGAAAGCCCTGTAAAATCCTAAACATTTCTTGTCCCAAGCATTTCAGTTAAGGGATGCTCAACCTGTACTTTCCTGCCATCAACCAGCATCTGCTGCCTAGAATAACTGCCTCACTCTTCCTAATGGTAGAGCCCTTACTGAGCCAGATGGTCTGTGCACTGTTGAATTGGTTCAGTGCTTTCAAATAACAGGAGAAAAGCACTGCATTGACTGTGTTTTGCATATGTGTTTAGCAATAAGAAACAGTCCTCTGGAATAAGGCTAACTGGCTGAGGCTGGCAAGGTTAGAGAATGCTCATGGCTAGGAAAGTAAATTCTTCCTGTTTTGTCGTTACAAATGAGGAAGAATAATTGTAGTAGTAGTTTGTTTTTTTCCATTATGGAAAAAAATTAAAATTTCTCTGCAGTATTCTACCTGAATCTGAATGCCTCAAAATGTTGTAGAGGAATTATTATATGGAGAAAAACATGGGGTTTTGGTACAAGAAAAACTTGTTTTCTGTACAGAAAATGGATTTGCCTGCACACACGCATATTCACAAGTGTGTGAGTGTACAAATGGATTTCCTATGCAGGTGGTTATATTGTGTGAAAGATGACCGTATTCTGGGAGCTCCCAGTGGTGCAGTGGGTTAAACCCTTGTGCCGGCAGGACTGAAGACTGACAGGTCGAAGGTTCAAATCCAGGGAGAGCATGGATGAGCTCCTTCTGTCAGCTCCAGCTCCCCATGTGGGGACATGAGAGTAGCCTCCCACAAGAATGGTAAAACATCAAACATCTGGGTGTTCCCTTGCAGACAACAAATTCTCTCACAACAGAAACGACTTGCAGTTTTTCAAGTCACTCCTGACACAAAGAAAAAGAAAAACACCTGCTTTGCAGGAAACAGATTTTTAATGAAAAAATATTGAAGATTTTTGTCCACAGAATAATCCCTGTGCAATACTTAAGGGAGGAAATACCGGGAATACCGGGAGGAAATTTCACAGAATTCACATTGGTCTGTTCTTCAAAATGTGATTTCTTGGCAGTTGGAGATGGTTTTTGACTGGTGATGAATAATAATAACTTTTATTTTCATCCCTAGTTCAAAATAGCTAACTGCACACATGCATATACATGCATGTGCACTATACAATTCTTCCACCTTTTATAGACTGGTTGCTGCCAACTCCATATTTGAGAAGTAAAAGCAATCATGCTTATTCCCCTCCCTCAGCCACTTGTTCTTGAAGACTTTCCCATAAGGGACAATTTTCATTCCAAGTAGATCGCATGCTCTG